TCCTTTCCCAAGATAACTGCAACGCAATCCTTTTTTCCACTTTATGCTCCCCGCCTTCTCTGATCAAGGCAACTCGCCAGGGCAAAGTTGCTGGACGGGCTGGCGTGGATGTGCGGGGCGTGAAGAGGTCCTTGCGGGCTCAGACGGCATGCAAGAATCCGCCGCCGCGCTTGTGCGGCATTGGTTTGTTCAGTGAACGTGGTTTAGGTCGCGGGTGGGTCGCGGGCTCTCCACCTCCACCTGGAAGGAATGCAAAAGCAGCCCGCCGCAAGCGCCAGAAAAATTGGTTCGTACACGGAACGAGGTTTGGGTCGCGGGTGGGCCGCGGGTTCTCCACAGGGAACGAATGCAAAGGATGCCCGCCGCAGGCGCCGAAAATGTGGTTTGTACCCTGAACGTGGTCGCGGGTGGGCCGCGGGCTCTCCACCTGAAACGAATGCAAAATATGCCCGCCGCAGGCGCCGAAAAATGTGGTTTGTACCCTGAACGTGGTTTGGGTCGCGGGTTGGTCGCGAGTTGGTCACGGGATGTGTCGCGGGCTCTCCACTTGGAAGGAATGCAAAAAAAACCGCCGCAGGCGCCGAAAATTGTGGTTTGTACCTTGAAAGTGGTTTGGGTCGAAGGTGGGTCGCGGGTGGGTCGCGGGGTAGGTCGCGGGTGGGTCGCGGGTGGGTCGCGGGTGGGTCGCGGGTGGGTCGCGGGTGGGTCGCGGGGTGGGCCGCGGGGGGGTTGCGGGGTGGGTCGCGGGTTGGGTCGCGGGGTGGGTCGCGGGGTGGGTCGCGGGGTGGGTCGCGGGGTGGGTCGCGGGTGGGTCGCGGGTGGGTCGCGGGTGGATCGCGGGGTGGGTCGCGGGGTGGGTCGCGGGTGGGTCGCGGGGCGGGTTGCGGGTGGGACGACGACAACAAACAACAACAACAACAAACAACAACAGCAACAACAAGAATCCGCACCGCGGAATTCCACATCAGCCACGCACCCAGGGACAGTGAATGACCGTTCGGCCCCCTCACTCTGATGTTGTTGGTTGAGGTTGCGGTTGCGGTTGCGCCCGCGGGCGGGTTGAAATGTTTCGCTTGGTTGCGGTTGCGGGTCCGCCCGCGGGCGGGTTCAAATGTCATTTGTTTGCGGTTGCAGTTGCGCCCGCGGGCGGTTTGAAATGTGTCGTTGCAGTTGCGGTTGCGGTTTCGCCTGCCAGCGGGTTGAAATGTGTCGCCTAGTTTGGGTTGCGGTTGTGCCCGCGGGCGTGTTGAAATGTGTCGCCTGGTTGCGGTTGCGGTTGCGCCCGCGGGCGGTTTGAAAGGTGTCGTTTGGTTGCGGTTGCGGTTGCGCGCACGGGCGGGTTGAAATGTGTCGCTTGGTTGCGGTTGCTGTTGCGCCCGCGGGTGGTCTGAAATTGTTGTCAAAGGTGCCCCTACAGTTTGGTCAGCGCAGTTCAGTTTAGTCTGTCAGTCAGCGGAGGGCACGGGATTTTCACCCAGCTCCGTTGGGAATCAATGAGATAGTACCGACATAGCGTCGATTGGTGTCGGCTAGCATCGATTAGCGTTGATGTAGCGTCGATCACCGTCGATTAGCGTCGATGTCCGCCGGCCAGCAAGATGGTAGGACAGGCTCCCATGAGTTGCCACCGAAGTATGTGTGTAGGACACCAACAGAGGAGCGGGATGGCGAGAACGAGTGGACGCGCTGATGGCGCCACAGGGCAGGAACGCAGGCAGGGCGAGACATCGTCTCGCAGCGGCAATCCGACATCAGGATCCCGCCTTCAGGGGCACCCGCGCGCCCACCCCGGGCCTCTCTCGCGAGGCCCTGCAGAGCGGAGTCGCCAAGAGCCGCCTCGGTGGCCCACCCGCCAATGGGGGGCCCTCCGGAGCCGCGAGGCCTCCCCGCAGCTCCTCGGAGGAGGGCCCCCGCCGAAGGCTTGAGCGCTCTGGGAGGTTCTGGGACGGCCGCCGTGCCCCACACGCATCCCCCGTGCCCTCCCTATCTCAGAGGTCTCCTCCGATTGGTCCCGATCCCGACTCTGGTCCCGGGAGGAGAAGCGACACCAACACCACCAGGGGGCCCATCCCCATCGAGGAGGTCATGGATGCCTCCCCGAGCTGGAGGCCGGGTATGTCTCGAGCGAGAGGGGGGGAGGGGGAACGCACCACCTGGGAGACACCCCATGCCTACTCGCATCTCCTCGCCCTGGTGGTGTTGATATCGCCTTTCCTAGTTCCTCGCGTTTCATCGGCCCCCTGCTCCACCTGTTGCCCGCGGCAGCGCCGCCGCGGCGCCCTGCTTCCCCGCCCCCGCCGGCGCCGCGAGGACCCCGTCCTTCCAGGCGCTGGCGCCTGCACGCAGCGACGCGCTGCTGCCGCGTGAGGGGTAGGAGCACGGCGACGGCGAGGGCGACGACGGCGGTCGCTGCGGCGACGACGACGACCGCCACGAGGACGGCGACGCCGATCTCGTGCGACGACGGTGGCGCTCGCGGCGGTGACGACAGCGGCGTGGCTTCTGTGCGCCTGTTGCCGTGCTCGGGCCTCGGAGGCAGCCAGGCAGAGCAAGTGGGCGGATGTGCTCGGGGCCTGCTGTGCGAGCAAGCGGGCGTACTGCCATTCAGGCTTATGCAGTTTGCCAGTTCCTTGGCCCCAGAGGTTCCTGGGGACCTCCGAAGACATCCGGCCATATCAGGAGGAGGAGGAGGAGGAAGAGGAGGAGGAGGAGGAGGAGGAGGAGGAGGAGCAGGAGCAGGAGCAGGAGGAGGAAGAGGAGGAGGAGGAGGAGGAGGAGGAGGAGCAACAGAAGGAGGAGGAGTAGGAGGAGGAGGAGGAGGAGGAGCAGGATCAGGAGCAGGAGGAGGAGAAGGAGGAGGAGGAGCAGGAGGAGGAGGAGGAGCCCCCTCCCTGCATTTCTCATTCCCCCTCCCTCCTCCCCCTCGTGGGTTTCTTGGATGCCTCTTGGGGGCGTTTTGCGGACGTCTTCTTGGACTCTCGGGTCTCTTGTTTTTTTTGAGGGCGATCTTGGGGCCCTGAGGTGTCGTTGGGGGGAGGAGGAGGAGGAGGATGAGGAGGAGGAGGAGGAGGAGGAGGAGGAGGACGAGGACGAGGAGGAGGAGGAGGAGGAAGACGAGGAGGAGGAGAGGAGGGTCGCAAGGGCCGGCATGGGGCTCCCTCGGGTTGCATTGAGGGCTTCTTCGGCTATCTCGAGCAACCGTCTTGAGGCGCCCTTGGGGCCTCCTGGGGCATGGGCGGTCTTGAGCCGACGGAGGCTCGAACAGGCGAGAATGCGAAACCACTGAGCAACCTCAGAGGAAATTGTCGAACGTTCCCGGGGGTCATATTGAAGCTTTTCTGGAACGTGTTTCGGGGGCGGCAAAGAGGGGGGTGATGACCAGGGGGGTGGATATCATGGCGGGGGCCATGATGTTTCCCCAGCTTTCATGGCGCCTCTTCTTGCTTCATTACGTCCCTGGCCCCCCCGCTGGGCCGCGCACATGCCGCCGGTCATGATTTGCACCCCCCCTCTGGGACACCCCCCTCTTGGCCGCTCCCGAGTGTTGTTAGGGTTTTAGCTGTCTTAGGGATCTTGAGGCCAGCTTGGGCCGTCTTGGAGGCACCTCGGGCCACCTCGGCGGCCTCGGTGGCCTTCCTCGGCCGTTGTGGAGGCGCCGGAGAGCCGTGGGAGGGAGAGGGGTGGTGCGTGTGCGTGAGTGTGGTGCGTGAGGGGGGGGGGGGCAAGCCTGCAGCCTATCCTTGGGGAACAAAGGGTGACATAAACATAACAACTCGGAGGTCCGCGCGGATTTCTCGGATCGGCGCTGGGGCCCCTCCCTGGCGCGCGGAGCGCGCCAGGGGCGCCAGAGGCGCCGCCGGGGGGCCCCAGCGCCGATCCGAGAAATCCGCGCGGACCTCTGAGTTTTTATGTTTATGTCATTTTTTGTTCCCCTATAGTATAGCGCTATCCGTATGATCGGCATCGCCCTGTCTCGATGCAGATCTCGGGGATCTCCTTTGTTTTTCAGGGTGCATCCCTGAGGCTGTCGTCGCCTTTTTGGCTTGTGTTACTCTTGAGGGGTCTGGATGAGCTCGAGGATGGTTACAGTCGGGCCGCTGAAGAAGGAACCCTTCTCGTTGGGGAGGGGCTCGGTGCTCCTCAATTGTTTCGCGCTTGCCTGAGGTTTCCCTTGGGTTTTCGATGGGAGTTCGAGGTTTGACTTTTGGAAAACAGGGGGTCCCGTGCCTTATTTCGGGTTCCTTTGGTCAACGCCCCGCGCGGTATGGGAGGAGGTTTCCCTTGGGTTTTCGAGGGGAGTTCGAGGTTTGACTTGTGGAAAAGAGTAGGCCTCGTTCCTTTCGGCGGGTTCCTTTGGTCAACGCCCCGACCTGTGTGGGAGGGGGATGCACAAGATTTCAGAGGCGCTGTCAGGCAGCATCTGGCGTTCCCTCCGCGCCCTCAGCGCGGCCAGCTACTCCTCCTCCCCCTCCTCCTCCCCCTCCTCTTCCTCCTCCTCCTCCACCTTCCTCCTCCTCCTCCTCCTGGGCGGTTCTCTGATCACTGATGGACCTCCTCCTCCTCCTCCTCCTGGGCACGGCGGTGGCGGGGATCATCCTCCTGGGCGGTTCTCTGAGCACTGATGGTCCTCCTCCACCTTCCTCCTCCCCCTCCCCCTCCTCCCCCTCCTCCTCCTCCTCCTCCTCCTCCTCCTCCTTCTCCTCCTCCTCCTCCTCCTCCTCCTCTGGGTGAGTTTCTGTCACGCTGGCGCGAGTGTGCGGGCACTGCGTGCCGGTGTCCGGGCGGCATGGTCGCAGACGGCCCAGCAGGCCAGAGCGAGAGAGAGAGAGGGAGAGCAAGAGAGAAGGAGAGAGAGAGAGAGAGAGACGGCACTGTTGGAACATCAGCAGCCAGATGCGGGGGCAGAACTCGAGCGCATTGATGTGGCTAGGTGTTCGAGCGACTTGTTCCAGAAGGCTGGGAAGGTAGAGGGGTAGAGCAGCCAGGCGGGAGATGCTATATGGGTAGTGGGCGATGCTGGTCGCACATGGCGCGAGTGTATGTTGAAGTGTGCAAGCGTGCGTTTGCTAGCGGCCAGGCACCTCCGGCTCTGCAGACCATCAGATCTTTCAATCTTCTAGGCGCGGCCGGCCGCTTGGGTAAGGTGCAGCCGAGGCGAATGCAGATGGGCATGAGCCAGTTTCGCCAGTGTTGCGCACCTTCTTTTGCACGCACGGGCTACTTTGAGAGCGGCGTATCTTGTGGTCTGGGCACTGCTGGAGCGGGGGGGTCCCACTCGCGCGAGTCCACCTTGTTCCAAGTCGTGCACCTGTTGGCTGCGTTGGCTCGGGCTGGCGCCGCAGCGCTCCTCGTCTCCTTCTGCCTCTCCCTGGGACAGTTCCTTCTGGCCGGGGGGGATGGGCCCGGCCTGGCAGGGCGGTCCTGGCGCGGGGGCGCGTGGTGTCGCTGGGGGCCGGTGGAGTGGGCCAGCCACGCGCAGAGGGGGGTGGGGGGAGGGGGGAGGGCTTCTTAGAAGCACCCCTGCTTCTTAGAAGGCGCGGGCTTCATCTATAGATGCAAGGCTGGCGTGCCAGGCGTGCCAGGCGTGCCTGCCGCGCCAGGCGTGCCTGCTGCGCCTGATGCGCCACGTGCTCCACTCAGGGGGGGCAACGATGGGGGGGATAGGTGTAGGGTGGCGGAAGTCGATACATGGAGAGGAAGCATGCTGCCAATCAGTATCCAGATGTCTAAAAGATGTGTCAAACATGTGTTTTAACTTTGTAACAACATGTTTGAAACATTGTTAGCGCATGTTTTGGACATTTTAAGCACATCTTTAATTCAATGATACGATAGGATTGTTAGAGCGTCCATTGTCATGGCATCCACAAGTGTAGGGTTAAGTCGGGCATGTCCCCCTACAGGGGGATTTCCAACGGAAAATTAAAAATACCCCACAGATAGTCAAAGAATACTCCAAAAATAGTCTGTGGACTATTTTAAGAGTATTTGTTTGCCTTTTTGGGGTATTTTCGGAATATTTTTCGAGTATGTTTTATTTCTCGTCGACAATCCCCCTGTAGGGGGACACGCCCGACACAAGTGCAAGGGGGGGGATGCTCGGAAGCCAAGAGACGGGGGTCAATGCAGACGGGGGTCAGCCAGGGCGCCAGATCCTGCAGGATCCTGCGGAGACCCCCTCCTGGCTGACCCGGGTTAGCGAGCCGCGAGGCGGCCGCGCCCATTGGCTGACCCGGGTTTGCGAAGACCTGCGTTGCAGTTTTTTGTTCTGCCTTGCAGTTTTTGGTTTCCTGCTGACCCGAGATGCATCGACGCGCAATCGCCCCTGGATCGCCGAGTATTGGAGTTTGTGTTGCCCTTTTGGGGGCATTTTTGGGGGTATGTTTTATTTCTCGTCGACGATCCCCCTGTATGGGGGACACGCCCGACACGAGTGCAAGGGGGGGGGGGGGGGGCATTTTTGGTGTATTTGTGGGGTGTCGGGGCATTTTTTACTTCTCGTCGACACGAGTGCGAGGGGGGGGGGATGCATCGACGCGCAGTCGCCCCTGGATCGCCGAGCGGGGCCCGATGGCCCCAGCCCCTGCCCGGGAAGCTGCGGAGCCGCTCCAGGGGGCCCGTCGCCTGCTCCTCGCTGCGGCCTCGCTGCCCCCTCTGCCTGCCCCCCCCCCCATATCGTTAAGTCGGGCCTGTCCCCCTACAGGGGGATTTTCGACGAGAAATGAGAAATACCCCCACAATACCCCAAAAAGGTCAGAACATACTCCGAAAATAGTCCCCAGGCTATTATTGGACCATTTTTGGATGATCTTTGGGGTACTTTTTTTTATTTCTCGTCGAAAGTCCCCCTGTAGGGGGACAGGCCCGACTTAACCCTATGCCTGCCCCCCCCCCCTTATCGTTGCTCCTCGTCAACGTGCGCTATGAGTGCCACGTGCTCCAGCCACGCCAGGTTCAGGCGATCGCAAACATGGATCGAGGGCGCGTGGATTCACGACGGGTCCCGTTTCCATTGGAAATCGCGGGTTTCCGGTGCCGAGCGAGGCGGCACCGGCCGCATTTTGGGGAGGGATCCACGGATTTGGTGACCGCTCGCCAAATCCATGGATCGCCACTTCTTGTTTGCGCGCCCCCAACAGACGCGCAGCTCGCGCAGAGTGCGCCAGGTGGTCCAGCGCACGTGGCAGAACACGTCGGGGAGCCTTAGTGGCCTTCGGCCCAGCCTGCCACCGTGTATGGGCTTGTGGACCAGAGTTAAGTCGGGCATGTCCCTTTACAGGAGAAAGATTCAAACATAGTTGAACAACTAATATGGCGACGTGTTTGCTGACTCTTGGGAGCATGTTTGGGTATCTTTTGATAATTTTTCTTTGTTCGTCCAAAATCCTCCTGTAGGAGGACATGCCCGACCTAAGACCAGAGGCCTTCTGGATGTATTTTTGGGTATCTTGGGAAGTACCTGGGAGATGTCTCGCAGGCGTGCTGGGGGCCTCTCTCTCGAGGCCATCCTGGAAGCTTTGCGGGAGCCCCCCCAGAGCATTTCCCGGGAGCTTCTTGGAATCATCTGGGCCTCTCGAGATCATCGTGCGGTCCCCGCTTGCTCTTGGGGGGAGTAGTTTGTGGACTCGAAGGAGAATGTTGACTCAGGAGGTAAAAAAAACATACAGACACAAGTAATCCTCGATTCCGCAGAAAAGATGGAAAATATGTGAAGTGGGGGGGAAGACAGAAATCCAGAAAATATGGGAAAATTTTGGGAATATGTTTATTTGTGTGTATTTATTTGTGTGTCCTGGGGCCCCTTCAGTGCATATCATTCAGGTCGGCCGTGTGGGGTCTGTTGGTCGCTCTACTCTCCGTGCCCTACGGGACCCAGATACAGTAGAAGCCCACGCCAAGAGACACCCTGCTTGCCTCCAGGGTGCCCTGGGTTTTCCTGGGTTTCGATGGTCTTGCGGTGGAAAGCGCGGCGTTCCCACACCACATGTCAATGGACGTCCTGGGGTCTCAGGGTTGGGTTTCTTGTGGAATGTTTCTTGCGGGCTGGCCTCCACTGTAGTACCACCTGGGTCGAATCGGTCGCTGCGGTGTCGGCATGACCTAAGTAGTGCCAACAGGAACGGTCGGGCCTCAGGCAAATGGTCGACAAGCACCCCGATGCAACTGCGTATCAGTTAGGTCCGATGGGATCGACTTGCTTGCAGTGCAACACAATTGGTACAACTTGTGACACATCGATCGCTCTACTCTCGATGTGCCCCAAGTGGTACCACTTGGACCATACCTGTCGTTGTAATAGATCTGGCCGAAACGGTACCGACAGGGCGGGTCTTGCTTCGGCGCATCGATGCACTGGAAATGGTTGAAGTCTTTCGCTTATACCAGTCGCTACCAAGTGGTCCTGGGGCCTCCTGGCCAGCGTCTTGGAGGACGCGAGGCATCGCGGAAGCCTCTTGGGTGCCTGTTTTGGAGGCCTCTTGTGGCCTCTTGGGGGCGCGTCGGTAGTCGTTGCAGTTCTCCATCTTGGACGTGAAGGGCTCGAACATCCCCTTCGGTCCCCCCCCCCCTGGAGCCTTGTTGGGTCACTCTTGGGCTCTTCTGGCGGGCCTCTTGGGCAGTCTTGGGGATTTTTTTCTCCTTCATGGGGCCCTCTTGGCGCCACCTTGGATCACATGTTTGGATCATGTTGTTTGGTGGCGATCTTGGAAGCCTCTTAGTAAGGACATTTCGGATCATCGGAATAACGCGAGCACCTTAACACCATTCCCAAATTGAAGGTCCAAACGTGTGTCTTTCTTGCCTCCTGGGGCCCCCCTCGAGGATCTTATTGAGACCCTCTTGGTGCGTCTTTGAGGCCCCCTGGGCCGTCTTGAGACCCGCTTGGGCCGCCCTGGATCGCCCCTTGGGCCGCCTCCGGTCCCTTCTTCGGATCTATCTGGAGGCCTCTTTGGGACCATTTTCTCAAAAAGCCATCTCGAGATTCTCCAGGTGTGCCCGCGCATGAGCCATGTATATCGGCATGAGCATGAACTTCTGACGGGCCGCGCAGATTTCTCGGATCCTCGCTGGGACACCCCTGGTGGAGCCTCCGGCGCCGCTCTGGCGCGCTCCGCGCGTCAGGGAGGGGTGTCGTCCAGCGCAGATCCAAGACATCCGCGCGGACAGTCAAACATTTCTGCCTTGTTTTGTTGTTTTAAGTTCATTTGCATGTTGTATAACCCCATATCTCAGACAAGCTTATGTTCGTTATTCGTGTGGTTGTCTCCGCCTCCCCTTCCTTCAGACGTTACCCACCCACTCGTACATGCCGCACTCTCACTCATATCCCACGCAGACTCATTCAGGCTCAGACTCACCGAATCTGTTAAAACAAAGCAGGCTCAGACTGACGCGCACTCAGACTCAACATACTCAGGCCCGCCTACTGTGGCAGGCATGGTATTTGAGTTCCACCGGGGTGCCGCCCAAGTGTGTATCACGGGTCCATTTGCGCCCAGATTGCCGCGTGGTGACAGGTAGAATTTCTGTTTGGGCTTGGTCGAACGTTCTTTCATTTGAGGGCCCCAGGACCATCGCGGTGAAGCAGGCGTGGCTCTCGAGCCACCCAGCGGGATGTCAACCATGGGTGTATCGAGTGCCTGTTCGCGCCGAAATTGTCCGAACCTCTCGGGTCGAATTCCCGTTTTGTCGGGGTGACAAGTATTTTGTCCAGCGCGATGTAGTGGGCATGGCATTCGAGCAACCCCAGGCAGTGTCGACTAGGCGTGTTTCACAAGCCCGCTCGCTTCCAGATATCGAAGAGCTTACAAGTTAATCGCATGATATTGCCCTTGTTGACGCGGTCTTGTTCAGAACCACCGGGCTATGACATGGTCCCGTTCGCGCCCAAAGTGTGAGTATTCCCCATGTGACTACGTTACAGGATCCATGCACGACAACCCAGATTCATGCACAGTCCGATCCATTCACATCTAAGGGTCATGGCTTGAGTCGCTTATATTCCGCCAGGCATATTCAGAATCACTCTCATCCACTCCCATTCCCATCCACGCGCCCATACGCAGACCCACTCACACCCAGCCCCTCTGATTCATATACTCTCACACATGTTCACTCCTACTCAGAGTCAGGAAGAATGCGCCAGAACATTGACTCGCGTAACTTGGGGTCTCTACGTCTCGCGTTTTTTCCCCAATTAGGCATGCCTAAGGGGTTCTGATTTGGCTAAGGGTTGGTGCCTCCTATTGTTACTTTGCCCGTTGCTTGAAAGTTCCTCGGGTTCCTTGGGTTCCCCGCCCCCAGTGCCTCCTATGGTTACGTTTCCCGTTGCCCGGAGGTTCACGGGTTCCCCGGGTTCCCCGGGTTTTCTTGATTGTCCAGGGTTCTTCGGGTTCCCTGGGTTCCCTAGGTTCTCCGCCCCTGGTGCCTCGTATTCTTAATTGTGCTCATTCTGAGAAGCAATGCCAAGCAAAGCCATGCATTGCCACGCAATGCCAAGCAATGTCAAGAAACGTAAGGCAATGCCAAGCAATGCCAAGGATTGCCAAGCAACGCCAAGCAGTGCCAAACTATGACAAGCAATGCCAAGCAATTCCAAGCAATGCTAAGCCATGCCACGCAATGCCAAGCAATGGGAAGCAATGCCAGCCAATCAGTGCCAAGCAATGCTAAGCACTGGCAAGCAATGGTAACCAATGCCAAGCAAAGCCAAGCAACGCCGACCAATACCAAGCAATGTCAAGAAATGCCAAGTGTTGCCTAGCAACGCCAAGCAATGCCAAGCAATGCCAAGCAATTCCACGAAATGCCACGCAACGCCAAGCAATGCCAAGCAGTGCCAAGAAATGCCAAGCAACGCTAGGCAATGCCAAGCACTGTCAAGCACTGCGCCCATGCAATAGAACGCTTTCCCCTACTTAGGGTCGCGTCTGGTTCATATTGTTGACAGGCGTTGCGGTGGTGTGCCCGCATTGTTCCTGGCCCGGCGGACGGCCGAGGTGGGGGAACGGGTGTTGATTGATAGAGAGCACTGGAACATCTAACTCCCCAAAGGGGGTGGGGCGCACTTTAATTGATGGGGAGCACTTTCATTGATGGAGAGCACTTTCATTCCCTCCCCGAAAAGGGGTGGAATATCTAACTCCCCAGAGCCCCTACGCTCAGAGGGCTGGTACGATTCGACCGTGCCGGTGGGCGGGTGTCCGGGTTGTTGACCCCCAAATTCAGATTGCCCCCGCAAGCCTTCCCCTGCCTCTGCCCTGGGCTGTGGTCATGGCAGGCTTTTGGAATCCATTCTTGTCTGGAGGCCGAGGGTGTGGCCGTGTTTGCGAGATGCCTTCCGAGAAGCACGTCATCATGCAGAGGATTCGTTTTGCCAGTGGGGCGACCAGCCAACCTCGACTGTTCTCGGAGCGGAGACAGCCTGCACAGTGCTTGCCTTGCCGCGTGATCCGCGCGAGGTCAGATTGTCCAGCGGCGTGCGATCGTTCTTGTGTCCCAGCCAGGTCCAGGCCGCAGTCTTGGGATAAACACAGCGGCCGTCAGTTCCTGAGGGCTCTCGACGCGCGCCTGTCCTTTCGATATGAACCCGATGAGCGCGCAATTTCTGTTGCAGTGCCCCCGCCCCCCCCCGTCTTGGTAGCCCGCCCTGGCCCGACCGCACTTGTGTGGCCTTCAGCGATGCCTCCGCCTTCGGACCCGCACACCTCGAAGAGGAGGAGGGGCAGGAGTAGAAGTAGGAGGAGGAGGGGGAGGAGGAGGGGAGGGGTGGAGGAGGGGGAGGAGGGGAGGAGGAGGAGGAGGAGGAGGAGGAGGAGGAGGAGGAGGAGGAGGAGGAGGGGAGGGGGTGGATAAGGAGGAGGCAGGAGGAGGAGGAGGAGAGGAGGAGTAGGAGTAGGAGTAGGAGTAGGAGTAGGAGTAGTAGTAGTAGTAGTAGTAGTAGTAGTAGTAGTAGTAGTAGTAGTAGTAGTAGTAGTAGTAGTAGTAGTAGTAGTAGTAGTAGTAGGTTAGTAGTAGTAGTAGTAGTAGTAGTAGTAGTGTAGTAGTAGTAGTAGTAGTAGTAGTAGTAGTAGTAGTAGTAGTAGTAGTAGTAGTAGTAGGTAGTAGTAGTAGTAGTAGTAGTAGTAGTAGTAGTAGTAGTAGTAGTAGTAGTAGTAGTAGTAGTAGTAGTAGTAGTAGTAGTAGTAGTAGTAGTAGTAGTAGTAGTAGTAGTAGTAGTAGTAGGTAGTAGTAGTAGTAGTAGTAGTAGTAGTAGTAGTAGTAGTAGTAGTAGTAGTAGTAGTAGTAGTAGTAGTAGTAGTAGTAGTAGTAGTAGTAGTAGTAGTAGTAGTAGTAGTAGTAGTAGTAGTAGTAGTAGTAGTAGTAGTAGTAGTAGTAGTAGTAGTAGTAGTAGTAGTAGTAGTAGTAGTAGTAGTAGTAGTAAGGTAGTAGTAGTAGTAGTAGTAGTAGTAGTAGTAGTAGTAGTAGAGGAGGAGGAGGAGGAGGAGAGGATGAGGAGGAGGAGGAGGAGGAGGAGGAGGAGGCGGAGGGGGACAGCCGCGAGGTCGCCTTTGGGGCAGGGCGTTTCGTTCCCCGTGCCGGGCCCTCCGGCGTGGGCATGGTGTCCAGGCTGCCGCCGTTAGGAGATCCCTCGCGGAAAGGACGGGGGATCCCGGGCAGGCGATTGGGCTCGGGCCTGGGCGATGGTCTGATGAGGAGGGAGGAGGAGGGAGGATGAGGAGGAGGAGGAGGAGGAGGAGGAGGAGGAGGAGGAGGAGGAGAGGAGGAGGAGGAGGAGGAGGAGGAGGAGGAGGAGGAGGAGGAGGAGCGGGAGGAGGAGCGGGAGGAGGAGGGAGGAGGAGGAGGAGGAGGAGGAGGAGGAGGAGGAGGAGCCTACCCCACCACCCCACGAGTTCTGAGGGGGATAGTGGGGTAGGGTTCGCAGGCAATCTCCTAGATGGTCACCGCGCGAGCGGAAGGGGGAAGGGCAGCGTGGCGAGCCTGTCAGCTGCGGTGGCGGGGCCACGGTCGCTTGCGGGAGCCACGGGGAGGAGCACGGCTGGTGGGACCAGCGTCGTCCAACCTATCTCCATCCCCGTGGGGCCATGACATCTCAGCCCCACCAGCCCGCGGGTAGGTTCTGCGAAGCCCGAGGGAGCAGGCATATCTTCCCACCTGGGTCGGCAGGGCGGCCAGCGGGGACACGGCCACGCCAGTGGGGATAGGGATCGGTTTAACGATGATCAGAAGATGGAAGGGGACCGCAGGTTAGGCGGGGCAGACCAGGGGGTGTCGGCACTCCGTGCTCGGGCAGCACATCTTCGTTCGTGGGGCAGCGCCGTTCCTCCCGTGGCTCCGCACCGCGCCACGAGGCTCCTGGCTTGCGCGCGCGTGCGGATCTTACCCACGGCATCCCGAAACATCGGCAGGGTGCAGCAGTCGGCGGAGCGTTGTGCACGAATGAAGGCGTCGCGCGCAGCCGACCTGCACCCGCTCCCGTTCGCCAACCTCGCGGCCTGTACGTGGTCGTCTGGCGCGAGACACTGGGTACCCGCGCTCCCCACGCCCCATTCCCCTCCAGCCCCGACCGTCCCGCGACACTTCGTGACCATTCCCCATCCATCCACTCTCCCCTTGCCTCCCTCTCATCTCCCCCGCCCCTCCCTTCCCATCCCCTCCTGCTCCTCTGCCTCGCTCCCTTCAGCCTAGCATCTGGAGCCATTTTTTTTTTATCATATCTCAGTTTTTGCTATTACAGCTGTTTTCTCAGAAATTCGTTTTTTGTCAACCGCGCCTGACCTTGTTCCAGTGCGCCAGCGGGCGGCACGCCGGGACCCCCCCCGGGCGGGGCCTTGCAGGGCCTGCGCATTCGGGGGCAGCGATAGCTCGGCATCGCTCGGACGTGTGCAGTGGTTGCTCGGCGAGGACCATCCTGGACCGTCGAGCAAAAAACAAAAAATAACACGCACGAGACCGACGAATGCACGGGAAGTGGACGTCCGAGCGACGGCAACGACAGGGGGGGGATAGACACAGGGGGGGCTATGCGTCGACCCCCCGTCGCCCAGGGATCGCCGCCAGTGGCCCCGTTGGCGCCACCCCGCCCAGGAGGGTGCGGACTCGCGATCGGGGGCCCGTCGCCGATCTGTCGGCGACGCGTCGCCGATGCCAGGTCGAGGCACCCCCCCTATTCAGGAGGGGAAAAAGACACACAGACACAGACACAGTTGATCGTCGATCCCCAGGAAAAGATATGGGCAAATGTGGGAGGTGGGGGGGGGAGACACAGAAACCCAGAACATATGGGAAAATATGGGGGGAATCTGGTTATGTGTGTCGATTTGTTTGCGCGTCCCAGCTCCACCCCCCCCTAATGCCTACCCCCCCCCCCTGTCGTTGCCCCTCGCGCGCGCGCCAGCCGCCCGCGCCCTGCCTGCGAGGCCCGCCGGAGCCGGGGCAGCCGCTCCAGCCGCAGCGGCAGGACTTCCACGCCGTCCGCCAGCGCCTGAACGCGGGGGGGGGTCGGTTCCAGGGTTGAGTCGGGCCTGTCCCTCCTATACAGAGGAGGGGTTTTCAAAAGCAGTCAGAAAAGGAGTCTGGGACGATCTTTTTGTACATGTTTGAGCAAGTTTGGTGCATGTGTTGCCTATCTCTGACTTATATGTCTTGACTATGTCTAATTTTTCGTCCAAGCTCCGCCTGCAGGGGGACAGGCCCGAGCTACCTGTAGGGGCACAAAGAGTGAGATTAGCACAAAAACGGGGAGGTCCGCGCGGATTTCTCGGATCCGCGCAGGGGCCCCTTGCGCCAGGGAGGGGGGTCCAGCGGTCCAGCGCGGATCCGAGAAATCCGCGCGGACCTCCGAGCTTGTATGTTTATGTCATTCTTCTTTCCCCAGGTTCGTCCCAGAGATCTGACGCTCCCCAACAAAATTGGAGCGCTCGGTTTTGGGGGTGTTTTCGGCCTGTGAGGGCCCTCCCCCTCGGCAGCGTCAACAAGAGACTCAGGACGAAAAACCGGCCCTACGGCAATGATCCAGACCTCCGGAGCCTATGCATCGAAACATTGGAGCAGCCGGACGTCTGGAGGTAGCAAATTGTGGTAGCCTTGTGTGCATCAGCATGGGCTGGCGCCGCCATGTAATCGATGAGGGGCCGCAGACTTAGCGTCGATGTAGCGTCGATTTAGCGTCGATGAGCGTCGGTTAGCGTCGATTCGCAAGAGCCAGCAAGATGGTATGGAAAGCCCCCATGCGTTGCCACCTAAGGGGACCGGGCTCCTCGCTTCCTCCTGCCGTGATCGGTTTCATTCCACGCCTGATGTTCGTGCAGGCGCACCCCAGCGCACCCCACTACATGTCGTTCCTCTTCCCCATACATACCTTGCGCCTGGTCTTGATTGCTCGGGGAGTTTACTCAAGAGGGTCACGCCGTTCAGCCGACTCCCAAACGGTGGACGGGCACACGTACTTGATTCCGCGTCTGGAGACCACTACGATGAAAAGACAAGCCATGCTGAATTGAGTGGCCTCTGGGAGTCGTTGGAGGCCTGCTGGAGTCATCTTGGAAGTATCTTGGGGGCCTTCTTGAGGCCATCGACTCAAATAGCCCTTTGGGAGCACTCTTGGGGCCCTGCGGGGCCATGTTGTAGCGCTGCTGGGCCTCTTCTGGAGCTCTCTTGGGAGCCCTTGGAATCATCATGAGGCCTCAGATGCTCATCGGAAGCGAAAAGGCAAGACTTCAACAACAATTGAGTAACCTTGGAGTAAACAAAAACATGAAAGACTTGAACGTTGACAGATCATGGCTTCGCTGGGGTTTCTCAGGAGGCTTGGTGACCACTTGGAGCCGTCTTGGGTCTTGGAGCCTCTTGGCCGTGCAGGAGCCCTTTGGGGGCCGTCTTGGAGGGCATCTCGGACATCTTGTAGGCGTCCGAGGGTGGATTTGGAGGCTCGGAAGGCACAGGCGATGCCCCAGGGAGCTGAACCCCCCCCCCGAAGCAAGCAACATGTTAGGCCCCCTGGGGGGGAGGAGCGGGGGGGGACAAGCAATCGTCTCGCACACCGCACCCCCTGGCAAGCGGGTGTCGGCGGACCCCGCTTCTGCGCTGTTGCTGGTCAGTCCTGGGTCCCGTACCCAGGCATGCGACGTCCTGATTTTTTCAGGACGGCGTCCCTGGAAGTCCCGACCCTTTCCCCAGGACTGGTTTTTCGTCCTGAGTCTTTTTTTGATGGTCCCGCCGAGGCTTGGCGAGGGCCCACCGGGGCCGAAAACAGCCCAAAACCTCCCGTCCTGATTTTTTCACCACGCGATCATGTCTGGGTACACTTCCTTCGTCCGCCTCTCACCCCTCTCCTTCCCTCCACTCGCATGCCCTCTTCTTCGGGAGACCTCTGGAGGCCTCTGGATGTCCTGGAGGCCCTCCTCGCGCGCCCCCCCAAACAGCCTCCCGTCGGAGGGCACCGGGCCGTACCCCTGCACCGTTCCTGGGCAGGCTGATCACGGGCCAGGGCTCGGTGTGTGTGTGTGTGTGTATGTGTGTGTGTGGTTGTGTGGGGTTGTTTGTGTGTGTGTGTGTGTGTGTGTGTGCCTTCGTGCCCCAGCCAGGAGGGCGTATACCTATGATGTTCCGACCTACTTTTATCCTTGATCGCTAGAAACAATGTCGAGCACCAGGAGAGTACCAAACACGGAGGCTGTTCACGCCACGCGTTGGGCCTGGGAGGCGGTGATCGTCCGCCACTTCGCTAGCGTGTCGGGCAGAGACTGTTTCGATAATTTCCTGTATGCTCGAAACTTGTCCTAAGATGTGGTCTTCGAGTGCGATGGGAACAACATGAGCGCACACACCCATCCCAGGCCTTATGATGTTCCAACCTAGTTTAGCCTTGACCACCAGAAAGAATTTCGAGCACCAAGAAGGTGCCGAAACCAAGGGGTTTTCACGTGTCGGGCCCTGGGAAGCGATACTCGTTTGACACTGCTTCCATACTCTTCCGGGTGCTCGAAATGATTTTCTGGGACTAAGTACTTCAGTGCGATGGGAAAAGCATAACCCGGGCCCAGGATGGGCCTGGCCAGGATCGCTGCAGAAATACAGTCGGTGCCCTCCCGTGCTCCGCCCCTCTCCCCCCGGCGACGGGGGGAGGGCTCGGGTGGCGGAGGCGCTGGCGTCTGCCAGGGGCGGCAAGTTGCACGTCGAGAATCCCTACGCGCACGTGAAGGAGGAGGAGGAGGAGCAGGAGGAGGAGGAGGAGGAAGAGGAGGAATAGGAGGAGGAATAGGAGGAGGAGAAGGAGGAGGAGGAAGAAGGAGGAGGAGGAGGAGGAAGAGGAGGGGAACGGAGAGGAGGGTGGGAGGAGGGGGAGGAGGAGGAGCAGGGGGGGAGGAGGAGGGAGGAGGAGGAGGAGGAGGAGGAGGAGGAGGAGGAGGAGGAGGGAGGATCGCTGCAGGCGTACAGTCGGTACTCTCCCGTGCTCCTCCCTCCCCCCCCGCGAGGGGGGGAGGGCCCGGGCGGCGAAGGCGCTGGCGTCTGCCAGGGGCGGCAAGCTGCACGTCGGGGACCCCTACGCGCACGTGGGCAAGCCCGCGAGAGGTCGGCCACGCGCAGAGGGGGGGTCTTGGCATCGCTCGGACTAGTGCATTTTTCCTTCGGCGAGGACTATCGAGGAGCATCCTTGATCATTTGGCGAACAAGACCACGCACGAAACCGAAAAAAACCGGGAATGGACGTCCGAGCGATGGCCAGGGGTGGGGGGAGGGGGAGGGCTTCTTAGAAGCACCCCTGCTTCTTAGGAGCGGCGGGCCTTGCCGGTAGATGCAAGGCCAGCGCCTTCTAAGGAGCAGCCTCCTTGGAAGAAGCCCTCCCCCCTCCCCCTACCCCCTTGTGCGCGCCGCCACAGAGGGCTGTGCGGCATGGGCCCCGCCATGGTGATAGGCGCGCGGCCGCGTCGCTCTGCGCCTCCCAGCTCTGTTGGCCTCCTCTCTGCTCCTCCTCCCATCTCCTCTCTTGGCCAGCTCCTGCTTGTGCTTCCGGGATGTTGCCGTACATGATGCCGCTCGTGAATCTCTGCCACGCCTGCCACGGAGAGCTTGGGCTGCTCGTGAGGTGTCGCGGTCGTCCCCTCGTGCGACCTCCTCCTGCTCCAAACAAAAAATCTGGGTCTCCCAAATGGGGTCAGAGTACAGTCAACCCGCATAGTAAGGATGGGCAACCTTCCCAAGGGTACCCTTGCATCCTTGCCTCCTCGGCCCATCCTTGGCCACTTTCGTTGGCCGCGCCCAGCTCGAAAAGCATAGGCGTGGCCTTCCAAGGCCCTTGCATCCTTATCGCGCATCCTTACTACACGGGTTGACTGTAGATGGGTTCGGAGGATCGCGCCGCATCGCTGATGCATCGGCGATGCAGCTCGATGTGGGACCCGATTTTCTCCACGCCGACGGCGCCGATGCATCGCTGGCGTCGCCGATGCATCGCCGAGGCATCAGTGATGTATCCCCGATGCATCGGCGATGCGGCGCGACCCTCCGACCCCATCTACTCGGACTCCAAGCAGCTCCGAGAACACGGCCGAATTCACTGACGAGTTGGCGTTGATCAAAGGGCTCAGTACTTGATTGACCGACCACGCCACTATTTGCCCAGCGCCCCCCCAATCGAGGTGGAGTGTGCGCACATAGGTGAGACCGCAGACGTGAGCCCATGATGAGGTCTCATTGGCTCACAGACGGCACACGTGTTGCTCGTCCACCCATTTATCCTCGACGCGGAAAGTCAGAACACCATCCTCGTTCCGGAAAGAGAACTCACGTTCTGATCGAAGATACCGGCGCGCAGGACACCCAGCCCGATGATATATGTGAATGGTTGATCTGCATCATCCAGTGCACGACGATCCGCACCTAAGGAGGATTCAAACGATGGTTTTCCTCTTCCTACACATCGAAATCGAACGCCGTCGTAGGGATTTGTTTCCCATATCCTAAGATGGGGTTGTTGTTATTACTTGGACGCCTCCTACTCCTTCTTCTCCCTCTTTTCCTTCTCCTCCTTTTCATACCCAGACTTATTCACACTCAGATTTACTCATACCCAGACTTACCCAGACAGAAACTTACTTATACTCATACCTACCCTATTCAGAGTTACTCATGCTGAGACTCACCCATGCCCAGACTACCTACTACTCAGACTTGTTCCCAGACTTACTCATACTCAGACCTGCTCGTATTCAGACCTTTTCATTGTCTGATTTAGTCCACACACACAGCAGAGTGTGAGGGCGTCTCAGGCGGGGCGCTGGCTTCAGCCCCCCTAAGGGGAACCGCCAGGGGTATTTGCACGGTCCCGTTCGCAGCAATGTTGGGGGATGTCTCGAGCGGTTTGCTTATTTTCTGTCCCAACATTCTTGGCTATCCGAGCAGATTGTGAGGATGTTTCAGGTGTTTCAGCATCCCTAAGAGAGGCCGCCAGGGGTGTTTTCACGGTCCCGTTCGCAGCAATTTCGTGGGGATGTCTCAGGCGGTTTGCCTCCTTTTCTGTCCCAACATCTTTGGCTATCCGAGCAGATTGTGAGGATGTCTCAGGCGGGGCGCTGGTTTCAGCATCTCTACAGGGAGCCGCCAGGATTGTTTTTACGGACCCGTTCGTGGCCGTTTTGTGGGGTTGTCTCGAGCGGTTTGCCTATTTTCTGTCCCAACATCTTGCGTTTTCGGGAAAGATTTGGAGGATGTCTCGAGCGAGGCGCTCATTTGCACGTCCCTAAGGGGAGCCGCCAGGGGTGTTTCCACGGTCCCGTTCGCGGCCGTTTTGTGGGGATGTCTCAAGCGGTTTGCTTGTTTTCTGTCCCAGCATCTTTCGCTGTCGGAGCAGATCTGGAGGATGTCTCCAGCGAGGCGCTCATTTTCACCCCCCAGGTGGGCCAGATTTTGAGGATGTCTCGATCGGTTTGCCTGTGTTGGTGGCCAGGCTCGTTGGCGCAGATTCGTCTCAGGATGCCACAGGAGGCAGCAACAGGCTCCAGGAGGCCCCAGGAGACCACATGCTGTCCCAGGAGGCATCAGGAGGCCACAGAAAGATTCAAGAGGCCACAGGATGCCCCAAAAGGCTCCAGGAGGCCCCCGGAAGCTCCAGAAGGCCTCAGGAAGCCACAGGAGGCCCCAGGAGGCCGCAGGAAGCGCCAGGAGGCCTCGCAAGGCAACAGGGGGCCCCAAGAGGCCCCATGAGCAGGAGGCCTCAGAAGGCAACAGGAGTGACTCCAATCCCATGTGTTTTACGTATGCTCCTATCGATTGGGCCTCACCTGGAGCACGATTCTTTGATGTTACACTATGTTTCTATATCTTGTCCTTCTACTGTGTGCACAATCCTACAGGTTTTACTTATGTTCCTATGTTTTGGGCCTCTCCTGTGGCACGAGTCCTTGGTGTTTTACGCGTGTTCCTATAGATTGCCCTTCTCCTGTGGCTCTAACCCGCAATGTTTTATGTAAGTCTGTTGCTATAGATTGGGCCTCCCCTGGGGCACGAAACCTCCCTAGGAGGTCCCAGGAGGCCCCAAGAGGCTCCTGGAGACCCCAGGAAACCCCAGTAGGTTTCAGGAGGCCCCAGGAGGCCCCAGGCTAATGCGCAGAAGCGCGCTCGTACACTGAGGCTCATTCACACTCCAATTCATTCGCAGTTAGATTCAGGTCCGGACCGTCACAACTGAAGCCCGCTTATCTTCGAAAGCTCTTGCGCCTAGACATTCACGGCGGACAGGTCCATGCGAATGGATGCACCTATGGGGAGCTCCACGCACTGAGTAATTACATGCTACCGTGATCCATGCAACCAGTGTTTTTTTTTCTGACGAGGCCCAGTGGTTGCCAGAAAGAAGACGACTCACAAGAGTGGGAAGCAACTACATTTTCGATGCACGGGTTTTGGCTGGTACAATCTTGGCAGGAAGCATGTCGTGCGGGACCTTTTTGCAGCGCGGCGAGTTTCGGGCTGTCGAGTTGTCTTGGTCCTCCCCTGCACGCCGACAACTTTCTATGATTCGTCTCCTGCTCTTTCAGAGAAGGTCGCAGCGGCGTCAACTGCAAAGCGTTGTGGAGAGAACCGTGGCACGGGAGACTATGGCAAAGGGGGGGCCTGCCTCGGGAATCGCGCCCCGCGCCGTCGGTGGCTTTTGCGCGGCAGTTTCGCCGAAGTTGGCGACGCTGTTTGAATACAGTGTTCTGCGGGCTGAAGGGGAGGTGGCGAAGTGCCTGTCTCTGGCAAACTGTTATGATTTTCGTCAGATACGCCGAAACGCTTCCCCTTCTCCAGCTCCAACAGAGATGCGTCGCCCAAGATTTCCCTCCCTCCATCGGCCGGATCGCCATCAGAGCGTGCAGTTCTGCTCGGCACTTGCTGTCTGAAGTGGCGCACGCGTTGTTCGGAGTGATCACGGGCTGTGGCGTCGCCGCCAACATGATTCGCACAAACAGCAGTGGCCCTTCGGGTGCCATCATTTGGAGCCCCGACAATGATTGCAAACCGTGCATCGACGATAGCAGTGCCCAAGCGGTCGGCGCCCACCGCGAAGTGGTTATAGGCGCGGCGCAAGAGGCTTGTGCCCTTCAGCAGGCCACTCTTGATATTGACGCTGCTCCTTCGACCGACAAGGCCACCCTCATCTGCAGCTCCAAGGCCGTGGTCCTGGAGATTCAGGACGCTCTGGGATGGTATTATCAGGACCTCTCGTCTCTGCTAGGATCAACCTGGGGGTGGACGACACCAGAGGCACCTCGCTTCGACGCGATGGGTCATAATGCCCGCTCCATGCGCAGACAGGCTGACGGGGTCAACCGTGCCAGAAGTTCAGAGCTCTCAACCGCCATCGTCTCCGTCGCTTGTGGATGGCTGGCCAGCGCCCCGCTTCTAGCTATGATGCCGAGTGCTGCGGGGCGCCTCCTTCCGAAGTGTTCTCCCTCCGGGGTCAGTTTGGGCCGCGTTTTCAGGCTCTCCTCTGGTCAGCGCTCGCTGTCGACTCTCATGTTGCTGGAAGGGGACCCCGCGTGGCTCGCTCAGGTCGCTGTCGTTTGCAGGTGGCGTCGCGGGCTTTGGGCCTCGGCCAGCAACCTCCACGAGGCCCCCGCTCCCATCCCTTCCCCGAAGAGATGGTGGGGAAAACGCTTGCCCCCCCCCCCCCCCCGCCACCCACCCCGCGCGCGACGTTTGGACCCCCCAAAAAAGCAAAAACACACGCAACACTTTGGGAGGAGTTGCGGGGCCCCTCCTCGAGGACGCCCATGACCTTCGGGGAGTTGGGGTGGTAGGCGCTTCAGTTTCATCGGGCGCAGGATGCCCGTGGTTACCTCCGCGAGTCGTTTTTTTATTTTTCCCGCCCTTAATGGACTTCCCTTCGCTCGGCCGTGTTCAGGAGACTCGAGCGGGGCCTCGCCCGCGAGCGCTGCTTCGGCAGCCGATGGCTGTTCCGCGACGCTGTGTTCCCCTACCTGCCCCCCCTTCCAAGTGCACTCCCTTCCCAGGAAGGTTATCTTGGGAGCTGCGCGCGCGAAGGCGCGTGGATTCGCACGACCGCGCGCAGCCGTGGAGATCAGTTCCCTTTCGTGTGCGAGCTCTGCGGAGCAGCCACGCTTTTACTGTTCCACAGATGGTGGAAGTGCCCAAAGCTATGTGCCGGACGCGCAGAGCTGGTCGGGGGCGGAACTCCGGAGGCCCCTCGCCGAATACCTCGTAGTCCAATGAGGCTGTTCGCTGTTGCCCGCGGAGCCCCGCCTCGCCCCGGGGAGCGGCGCCCGCGCCTCCCGTGCAAATGGGCGGCGACGACCCCCCTCCCCCTCCTCCTCCTCCTCCTCCTCCTCCTCCTCCTCTCCTCCTCCTCCTCCTCCTCCTCCTCCTCCTCCTCCTCCCTCCTCTCCCCCTCCCCTCCCCCCCCTCCCCCTCCCC